CCGCTGCGCTCAAGGTCACCCGGTGACCCGGCGGGTTCGTTACGCTCGCCGGGAGCCCAGTCAGAGGCTAGCTGAAGGCCAGCGGCCGATGTGTCGGTGGTCACGGCGGGGAGAGGGAGGGAGGTGCAGAGCTGGCGGCAGGTCGCCCTATCCTCCCTGCTCGCTGCTTTACGAGCTAGTACTATCCAGGAAGTCTTGGGAGAGGGGAGGCACACTACACATTCTAATCAGCAGTGTGATTGGTATACCTATTTTTGAATTATTACCCAGACGATTCATGACTGCTTTGGCTATTGTCAATAGGGTACGCAGAAGAAGGGGAAATGGACAAACCGGACTACGAGCGCACAATTGCCAGTCACTATCCGTAAACTGCATTCATGTTAGCTTGTAGAATGAGCTAATCATCGCACTGTTGAGCATTTGATAGTTTCCTGTTGTGAATTACTGATTATACCCACTAGTAAATTAAAGACATCACTCATGGTTATCATATAAGGCAATTTATTACTATGCACAGTTTCACGATGGCTGGGCTACTGGCGGTACTTGATGGCCTTTCTTACATGCCCAGGCGTTGGAAAATTGCGTGACTAGATAATTGGATTGCTGTAATCTGTTTGACTTCAAACATCTTGGAGTCAATGAGCCACTTCGCCGCCCATGCTCCTGAATTACCGCGGTGAGCGAGCATTAATCGGTTTCGTGCTGGTACAAGTCCCTGATTATCCGGTGGCAATGCGTGAAAAGCCTACGATCGCTCATCATTACTGAATGATATCGTGCCCTCGGCACGCCATGTCGACACGTACAACGGGCGACCGCAGCTCGGCCAAATGACTGTGAGCTGTACAGCAGAGTCGAACGGTCGTTTTGCCTGGTCCATCGGATAAAACAAACAGTTGGGTTTCCGTTGGCTTCTGCGTCCACAGCTGAACACTGAGCGATTTTTCCTACATGTGGTGTGTTTTATACCGTGCCCCGTTTCCGCCACCGCATGTTGACCGGTGCTCGCCGCGGGTAATTGAGCTCGGCCTGTCGATAGGCCATATCGATATGGCCCACCGATAGCAGTCCTGTGACGACCGGCGGCAGCTGACGGATCGATCAATTAGGCCCGGGACACGGCGGGGGCGGCGGCTGATGTACGACGGTACCGGCCAACGGCGGGGTGGTCAGGCGGCGGCAGGAGCTGTGTGTGGGAGGAGAGGGGGAGTGAGTGGTGTCAAAACACCGACCCCTACACCGACCCCCCCGCGTCTTGTCTTTTTGACGTCGGTATGACTTGACTTTAGTCCCAGTACCAAAGATTTGATTTTCAATGATTCATTGATTATTCAGCTCAATGATAGAGCTCTGGGTTGAAGAACTGAGCTAACGGGCTGATTTTCTAGCTGAACATTTCTCTGAGCACGCGGCGCGCGTCAGCTCTGTTCCGGACAGGCGGACCAGAGCGCACGTCCACCATAATCGTCTGGTTGTGGGTCGCCTGCGGTAGACAGGGACCTCTCAGCAGAAACGAGAGAACAGCCGGACCGAAATTCCAGCCCGGAAAAGGCTCAGTGCTGAGATTACAGAGCGCGTCGGTTAATACCGAATTATGTGGCCTCATGCACAAATGGACTAAAGTTATATGTTTGAGCTGGACATTTGTGTGATAACAAACGATAAGTGTCGGCTCGTAAATGTATCAGATTTCGCAGCGTAACTGTTCGGTATTTGGATTGTAGTTCTCCTACAAGAAAGATAAACGATCTCACTCACGTCCTTTACAAACTTTTCTGCAGCATTATTACAACCAAATCATTATGAAACCATCGGGTGATTTTCTTCAAAGTTTTTTTTTTCTGGCGTGCAACTGGCACCATTATGTCATATAGTGCCTGCGGGTCAAATCGGTGACAAGGTGTTGAGCGGTGTGACTTCTGATTCAGCGGTGGAGAATGTATCTTTATGATGCAGGCGATGTCCCATCACTGTGGCACATAGATGTCCGGAGTTACTTGGACGACCGTCAGTATATTCTCGGTCACCGTTTGTGCGTCATTCTTAGCCGGTCGATTTGGACGGGAATGTTCCATTACTCAGTCCACCCAACGTGGAAGCGAAGAAACTGTATGTTGAAATTATTTTTTTCTGACACGCTATCACGGTCTCACGCTCTCGGTTTTCTGACACATGGTCTCCACAACATACTCGTATAAGCTTCCGATCCTACACAGTTTTGTTTGTCCTGCACCTTGCGGCAGGTGCGTTGGGCTGTTTTACAGTCACTGGGTGGTATGGTGCTATCGGCGTCCGCTTAGCGATCGGCAGGGTATTTCTGGGACTGCCGGTCGGCCGACTGCCAGTAACCGGTCCCAGACATCACTGCAGGCTATTGACTTACCGCCGCGGTCCGCACGAGCCGCAGAAGCCAGTGGCATTCGTCCTATCTGGCTAATTGCATGTATTTCTGGAACGTATCCGGCTGCCCAGCCGCGGCTCTCTAGGCTCGTTGAGATATTTTCAGAACGGACTCTGCTGCATGATGACGCGCGTGTTCAAAACAGCAAATAATTTTAGAACCGACCGTCCAACGCATCGAGTTCTTGTAATGCGTCAGTAAACTTGTGCATCGGTGTTAAGCTATATGAATATAGGCTGGTAGGCTTACTGTGCTCTAGCTGACATTTTTCAGATCTGTGTTCTTTGGCTGTGGTCTTTCAACCTAAATGTGATCGGAATTCAGCTAAAGCTACTCTGAGTTGATCGAACCAACCCAAGATATCATATTACCAAAGGTATGTTGATAGCTGAATTCAGCCGAAATGTTCGGGTATATATTCCACCAAGTCATTTTCTGTATTCCATCCCCTCTCATATGTCTGCAAGCGGAAGGCTCTATTACATAAGGTGGGCTGGTGATTGCTGGCTGGCGGCTTCACTGCGAGCTGTGCGGTACAGTAAAGATATGCGGGCACTACGGGTGCACTGCCAGCTAGCGAGGATGGCTGTAGCAAGCGCGGGCCGTGCGGCACAGCATAGTCATGCAGGCGTGCGAGCGCAGTGCCATCTAGGGAGGGTGATGTAGGTAGGCAGTGCGGGCATTGCGGCACAGTATGCACATGCAGGCGTGCGAGGACAGTGCCATCTAGCGAGGTTGGTGGTAGTTAGCGCCGGCCATGCGGTGCAGTATAGAAATGCAGGCGTGCGAGTGCAGTGCCATCTAGGGAGAAGAGCTGCAGCTAGTGTAGACGGTGCGGTTAAGTGAAGTTTTGTTTGCCTTCATAAGCTATGGCGCACTTAGCAGACCCTGCCTACCTCGCCTTCAGGTAGATAGATGGGGCGTGGGCAGTGTGTCGCAGTGGATATGTGGCGCTTTCTGCCATGGATATATTGTTTCTGCTACTTTTACTCTTCAATCCCTCACTCATTCACTCACTCACCCACTCACTTACCCACTCACTCACTCACTCACCCATCCGTCTCCCCTTTCTCCCACATAATGTTCAAAACACGCCGCGTATTTTTGCAGTCATTCCTGCCGAAGGAGCGGCGCGGTGTGCGGTGGCCGGTGTCACCAGAGAGCGTCCACAGCTGGGCCGAGCCGCACGGCGCCACGTAATTAAACGTCCCGATATAGCGGCGATCAATGGGCCCACCATTGTTGGAGCTGTTTTTACGGCGGCCCTCCCGCAAGTTGCGAGCCCGTAACACGATTTCGACGACTGGGCGTCATTCATAATGCATGCGATCACCACTCGAGCAGAGGTTTGAATTATCTCTCGCCGGTTGTTTTTGAAACGGTTGCGACAGGATAAATCGATAACTCCGACTACCGAGGATCTGTTGACATCGTATCGCGGAGGCTGTGAGAGGGTATGGCATCGAAAGGAGACTCCCAATGGTGTATTTAATGAGCAGGTTGCATCTGTGTTCTGAAGCTGTGCATGCCTATTGGCAATACAATGCCAGCAATGTCCAATGTCCATCGAGCGTATCAGTTTTGGTACTGGTTTAATGACCTGACGCCTGATGGGCAAGCTTGTGGGCTGCAGGTGTAGTTATGGAGTGTCGTTAGTAAGTTACTCGCACGTATCACCTTTATGAGGTACTGAGATCTACCAAGTGCGTGTCCATAAAGGCAGCAGTGACACGTCCATTTCATAAAGCCGTCTCTCGTTCAAGTTTAATTTTGAGGATGACCTTTACAGTCTCTTTACATCATACTCACTGTGATTAATGACTCTCCTTATATTTCTCGGCTTTCAGTCTGCGAATAAGACGATTAAGCACTGTTACGTATCCTTACAGCAGGCACTGGCTTGAAAATACACTTGTGGAGCTGATATGTATGTGATCGTGTAGTTTATTTCCGTCTTTTCAACTGAATGACATCGGTTCAAGCGACGGTACAAACGACAAACCCTTATCACCTCAGCCCTGACCCGCCGGTTCGAGTCGTGACAGACTGTCGCCGGGCACAGCCGGCCGTTCGGCCAGCCTGGTCCCTCTGGTAACCGGTGACAGACGGACACGGCCCGGCTGGCCGCTGGCCCCGTCTCGGCCGGCCGGCCCCGGGGACCGATACGGGCCGTCGCGCGCCCGGCTGGTTATCTGGCGATAAATGTGCGCCGCGCCCGCCCGGCACGTGCCGCCGAGCCGGTCGACCGGTCAGGTGTCGCGGCAGTCGCAGGGTGGGGATGGGAGGGGTGCAGGGTGGAGGAGAGTTGAGACAGACGGTACTAGGGCCTAAAGGGGAAATATGGTTACAAGGTATGGCCTAGTTGTTACAGATGCGAAGTGATGGATGATTGGGTAGGATAATGTGATCTCGACGGGCGTGGAGCTAAAACGGACCCTTCTCATACGTGGAAGACCAATGAAACGATTCCATTGAAGGAAGTCTCTTTGTCGTGTGTCACTATACTTCACTGCCCGTTTATATTTCAATTCACCAGGCCACATCTCCCTTTTCTGTTCCAACTAACCTGACCACTTGTCTCTCTCGATTTCAGTGCACCTGATTGACATTTGGAACGTGATCGAGGCCTTCCGCGAGAACGGTCTGAACGTGCTGGAGCCTCAGACGGCGGTGAACTCGTCGAGGCTGGACTCGCTGCTCACCTCGCTCTACCTAGCGCTCAACAAGCGGCTGCCGCTGCAGCACCAGATCAACCTGGACGCCGCCGTCAACACCGTGCTCAGCTTCCTCATCACCACCTATGACGTGTGAGTACCGAGAACAGAACGGCGCGGGATCGATTCTCGGTGAGGGAATTTTCTTTGTGGTTTTCAAACTATGTCATTTTTGCTTTTAAATGCAATTGCGGTATGCTATCTTTTTCGGAAATAGCTTCTAAGTCGAAATTTCACGCTTGAGTAATTGTAACTGCTAGTGGATTTGCATCGCTATAATTTTGTCATATTGCACCCCTAAGTCTTGATGTCTGTCCACATTACGAGTCCTGCCATCGGCTGTGATGCTTGGTGGCTCTTCATCGCCAACAGAGCCAAAAGGACTCATCCTCTGCGGTTTTTAACCGTCCGCTTCGCTTTCATCCCACTCAGTCTTGACTCCCTGGGTTGGATCAGTCAGGCTCCTCGGCGGGCCGCCACCTAAGACGGCCCTCCATCAGAGTTGGCGTGCATGTGCCGCCCTAATGCCCACCCGATGAAAAATACCGCCCGCTACGGCGCGGCCATTTGCACGGCACTCGGGCAACGATTTATCGATGACGGCTATCGACAGCCGGCGTATCAATACGCATATTTCCACCGGGCTGGGCGCGGAGTGGAGTAGTCTGCTCGGCCGCTGCAGATGACACCCTCAGTCCTGAATCCTGACCCGACCTGTGCGGGCTCGCGGCGCCTCTCACCCCACCTGTGCGAGCGCGCAGTGTGATAACGGCGACCCGGCCTCGTATCTGACCTGACATGCCGCCGACGGGGGTCGTTACACGGCGGTGGGGCCGGTACGGCGGCGTCTCACACGGGCAGATATGGGCCGTGATGGAGCGGTGAGATCCCGGCCGTAATGTCCCCGTAGCACCGCACCGCGCGACGTTAGCGATGCGGTAGGCGTTTGGTTAGCGGTGGGGGTAGGGGGTAGGAACGAGCAAACCTAACATTCGTTCTCTCTCTCTCTCTCTCTCTCTCTCTCTCTCTCTCTCTCTCTCTCTCTCTCTCTCTCTCTCTCTCTCTCTCTCTCTCTCTCTCTCTCTCTCTCTCTCTCTCTCTCTCTCTCTCTCTCTCTCTCTCTCTCTCTCTCTCTCTCTCTCTCTCTCTCTCTCTCTATCTCTCTATCTCTCTATCTCTCTATCTCTCTATCTCTCTATCTCTCTATCTCTCTATCTCTCTATCTCTCTATCTCTCTATCTCTCTATCTCTCTATCTCTCTATCTCTCTCTATCTCTCTCTCTCTCTCTCTCTCCCACTTGCTCACTCACTCACTCACTCACTCATTCACTAATGAGTGAGTCTGTGCTTCACTCATTACTCATTCATTTCAGCAATCCATCGTAAATTCATTCATTCATTCCTTCACTCTGTCATCAATTCATCATTATTTGACGCAGGAATTCCATCCTTTGACTCTGAAGTCGCCTTTTCCCTCTTCGTTTACTTTCTCGTATTGTCATTCCACCCGTTAGTTTCGCCTTTACTGCCTTCCTCTTCCTTTACCTGCCACTCGCACCCATCTAACGTATAGCCCTTTTATCCCTCCTGTCTCATTTTGTTGGTTTTATGACGTACCGGATTTGCCGAGGCCGTATCAAGTTTGTTCTGTGTGATGTGTGACGCTAGCTGGGGAATGGGTGCCTGTGTTGTGCCGTAGGCGAATGCTGTTGCCCGTTACCAATTTAGGGATGGTGTTTTGGTGATTAAATGACACAGATTGTTGTCACTCTACTGACAACATACGCTTTCAAATGGCATTCAATTGCCCAGACACTCATCAACCACCATCATTTACTTTATAAGCTCTTATGCATAAATACTAGGGTTTACCACTAAGTACTGTAGCAGCTGATAATCTGACGTCGTCTTTGTCTCCCTATAAATGTTGGCTGTTCTACCGAATGGTTTCGCCGTCTTTCTACACCCCTGTTCCCCCGTCCTATCTTCTGGCCCGTCTACACCGCTCGCGGTCATCACGTATGTACCTACTACACTACCTACTACATGCATATCTAGTACATCCCTACTTCACCCATGGTGAGCACGGACTACGGAGCCGCCAGCACACTGGCTCGAGTGACGCTGACCTGCTGAGCGCGGATTAATAACGGTGTGACCCTATTAGCTTTATAAACGCATTGCACGACCGTCTACCCACCTTTCTAAAAGTGAGTTATGTGCTCCTTTAAATGTATGCTGTAAACTGGTGTCCATGTTGGTATTTCGCTAATTCTCACCAAATACGGTCACTTACCTGACTGTATAGTGTATATCAGTGAATCACTGGTCGTTTGCTGACCCCGCTCTGGCCGCTCCGCAGGGACGACGTGGGCTCGGTGCGGGTGTTCTCCATCAAGGTGGCCATGGCCACCCTCTGCTCGGGGAAGATCACCGACAAACTGCGCTGTAAGTACTCCGGGGCGGCTCACCTTGTCAGAACACTGTAAGGGACAATGACGGGACACTGTTTTAGAGCCGCGACGACTTCACGGCGATTCCCTGACGGGATACAGTAACGTTGTATCGCTAAGATACTGATGCAGATGCCGAGGTTGACAGGGTGGGTTGTAGTCCACCTGCGGTCTGTCTAGCCAGCGGCTGTCCCTAGCAACGTCGTACCTTAGTGTAATCTCCCCCTCCTAGAAACTCTACTTACTGTCTGCGTGGCTAGCTCGGGTTGGATACTGGGTATATTTGAACGGTGTTGTGTAATGTGGTGTTATGTAACTGCGGTTGGAAATTTGGTAGTACGGAGAGGTATGGTCGAAAATGGCGGAGTAAGTAGCCCATATGCCTCTCATATTTCCAGCGAGATAATCAGATAAGCACTCTCGATAGTCATTAAGATGTATCGAGTTCCAGCTGTTACTGGGTTCGTTGACTTATAAGCTCGCGGATATGGTATGTAGCGGTCTATGCTACTGGTTATGATTGGCTGACCGAAAGGGATACATAGCACTAAAGCAGCACCAGGTCGGATAGTGAGAATGCCATATTGGCTCTTCCCGGTTAGTTCAACATTTCCGTTGGCACATCCACCTGTTGCGTCGTTTGGCTTACCATCGCCCATCTTGTAAATGTATCGGCTGATTCAGCGAGCAGTGTTGCGATTGTGAAAGTTCGACCGGTCTGGAATCTCAGGGAGGAATTTCGGGACATCCTTCCACATGCGCTAATGGATCAGCATCCAACTGAGTAAGGCATACGGCGCAATGAAGTGGCTGCTGAGTCGCGGCTCTCCCCCGGGGACCTGTAGGCCTGAAAATGACGAGACTCTCAGTTAATATATGAGTTTCAGCCTGACATAATCCTTTTAGACAGATTATCTGGGGCGGCTGGGGAAAACAGCCTCAGGGACTGCGTGTCGACAGGTGTTTGGTCGGACCGATGGATGGGGGACGGGCTCGGCTACCTCCCACGCCGACACAGACGTATGCACTGACTCTGATTGTTCCGGGAACGGCTCAATAGGGACGGTCGTCTGCCGGGACCGTCGGGGTTCGGATATAGACCAGTGTTCCGCGGTCAGGCAATTAAATCCCGGCCAACTGCTCCAAGAGATCCCACTGGTGTTCGGGGGTGTAATGGATTCGTTCGCGCCCTGATTGTTTGCGTGCAATTCGGGCGCGATTCAGTGTTTGCGGTTGAGAGTGACGCGCTCGATGTATGTGCTGGCTGTTTGTATGAACATATTGCTTCGTGATAGTGTTGCTCCTCAAGCATTATTTGCCAAAGGTTACCCTCGCAAACGGACGGAACAATCAGCAGTTTTATTTCCTTTTTCCAGATAAGAATGACATATACTGATGTCTAAACTACGCCACTCGCACACACACGCAGACAGCGCGCTGTAATCTGGCCTTGGTGACGGCTCGCGGCCGTTTTGGGTCTCTCTTCATCCGGCCGCAGCGGTGCGTTGTGATGCATCCGGTGTCGGCTCGGCATTTAGCCGGGCCGCCGTGCCGAATATTAGATTGTGTTTGTCGGCCGTCTGATGCAGCCTGTCGACGAAACAGGCGCGCAGAAGGCGGACAGACGCGCAGGCTGACGGAGGCGGCGAAGGCGGCGTTCGCGGTCTGCCTGCCGCCGCTACCCCGTCAGCCGGCGCTCTGTGTGATTTGTGGTCGTCCTAATACCCCGGCCAATCTCTGTTCGGTTCTGCCTACTCCAGCTCACTCAGGTCTCCTCAATAACCCCGCAGCCGGTACTCTGGCGTTCAGCCACCCCGCCGCGGCGGTGTCACCCTCTGATCTCTTTCCCACACCCCTGCCTCATCCGACCACGTGGCAGTCAGGGCTGTGAACTGGCGGCGGCGCTGCAGGGTCGCGCGATCGAACGCACACGTCGGATGTGAGCGGCGCTCCGGGACAGACACGCACTGATCCCACCGAGCCGTGGGAGTCGTAACTCTCAGATCAGGTGTGCCCGCGACGCCCGGTCGGCGACCTGTGGCCGGGGAGGGGCGACGAGTCGATTTGGATTTAGTCGAGGAGGGATGAAGGGTCGTTATCGATTTAGACGGCGGGAGATGATAAGTCGTCTTGGATTCAGCCGGCGAGAGGTGACGGTTCATTTTGGATTGGAAGTGTAGTGGGGTAGCTTGTGCTGGACGACGACCAATAGGCATGGGGAAAAGGCATTCGAATTTTTATGACAAATATTTAAGTCAGTTAGTCTCAGGTCCTATCACTCTGACAGCCGGGTGTTGCGCGTTTCCCTCCGTCTTTCCTCGTCTCCCTCTCCGTCTGTCTCCTCTATCTGCCTCACTGTCCGACGGCGGTATCTGCGGGCCCACACGGCCGACACTATTGCACCGCCGTCCGAGTGGCGGTGCGTCGCGCCGTCCAACAGGCCGCTGTCGAGTCTCGGGGAGGGGTGGTGCTAGGCTCCACGCAGCGGGGAAGGGTGCCCGCCGCCGCCGCCGGCTGGTTCTTTGTCTGGTGTGTGAAGGAGCTCTCGCTCATATACCGACTGTCATGGTAGACAGATGGAGGAGGTTGTATCCGTCTGAATAACACAGTCTGAAGTTTCGAATTCGATGATGTTGATTATGACTAGCGGTAATGGTAACGTGGCACGCGCCTGGCGCCGCCCCATAGCAGTGTTCTTCAGACGGGAGCAGGCGCGGCCTCCCCATAGCAGTGTTCTTCAGACGGGAGCAGGCGCCGGTCGAACGGCAGGGACGCGCCGCGCGGCGCCCCTCTCCGGATATTGTGGTCGTACACAATCGATGATTGCCTCGCTCTGCCACCACCCAGACGCTGAATGAATGAGCGCACCAGTCGATGGAGCAATGTATGCAGGACGCTCGAAATGGTATATGGAGCTGATCGATGGTCTTATAATGGAAATCAATCGGTCGGTCCGTGTCGGATGACTGTTGTGTTCCGGTATATGTTAGCGCATCCTCGTCCTATATGCTGTGTGCGCTGTCATAATCCGCAGCATTCAATACTAGTCTCGTCTTAATCGTATAATTTGTCTTTGATAAAATCGATCCTTTCTTCTTGTTTCTGTTTTCTAAAGCCCAACCCCTTCTTTTTTCTTCGTATGCACTATGCATACATGCCGCCTCTCCGGCTGTTTTCTGGTCTCTACTCCTTATGCATGCAACTAACCCTTTCACCCCAACAGCTCCCCACGCACCACCCAGCACATCTGCATCCCCAATCGTCTACAATAGCCACCTAACATTTCCCCTCTCCGCGCCCGATTGCAGACGTGTTCTCTCAGATATCGGACGGGAACGGGCAGCTGGCGCCGCGCCGCTTCTGCGACTATCTGCGCGAGGTGCAGGCGCTGCCGGCCGCCGTCTTCGAGAGTCCCACCTTCTCCTACAGCGACGAGGCGGCGCGACTCATCTTCCCGGCGGTGAGTGCATGGTGGCGGGCGGACGGTGGTAGCCGGTAGTCTGTGGGTCGGGGGTGCTGAGGGGCCCGACGGTTTTGGCCGAGGTAGTCCATGTGGGTCTGGGCCGGGGTTGTGGTTGTGTGGTTATAAGTGGTTGGGTTGTCTTGTCTCTCGAGTCCGAGTGTCTGCGCTGGTCTCGAAGGGAACACAGGGGGTCTGTGCGTGTTTGTGAGTGTGGTGGGAGACGGTTTCTGAGGACTAGATCCAACAGAATCTGTGTTGGGTCGGGAGGCTTCAGTGGGTCCCGGCGGGGTCTGCTCCGGGTCAGCTAGAATATGTTAGATATGGTTAGATTTGGGATGGTCCGCCAGTCAGGTAATATCTGTGTCGATGGGCTTCAACTGATGCCTAGTCGTATGATGTAACTTCGCCTTGCGCTTTTGTTCCAATATCCAGTGTGGTTGCTCCATTCAGACAAATCACCTGTGGTCACAGGCTATCAGACCAGTGATGTAAAGGTACCCTCATCGAGCCTTTTCCCCCTGTCCGTAGCATTTACTCGTATATTTCTCTATGGCAGCATCCACCGCCGCCGTAATCCCGGTCCGGGCACACCATTTCTCCGTAAATTAGCCGTCCGTGGCTCGTTCGCCCGGGATTCGCCGGCTATCCCGAGCACTGCTGGCTCGTTTCCGAGACCTGTCTTTTCCTATAGAAACTCGATTTCCGGTGGTGGCCCTGTCTCTATTCATACCCCGCCTTATTGGATTCATGTTGTCGCTTTGATATTCTTGTGTGCAGTGGTATTATCCCAATAGGCGTTCCTGTCATGTGAATCCTTTCGGCATTGAATATTGAATCTTATCTCAATTTAGCGGCTTCATGCGAATGGCTTATGTCGTTACGATGCGATGAATTTTAGCTTTATATTGCCGCTTAAGGTGGCGAGAAGAATGTCATCAGCATAACGTCTCAAAGCAACACTAGAATGCTGCTGGAACTATTGTCAATAGTTTAGTGCGCAACGCTCGGCTGTTACATAATTGCAATGGTATTTGAGTGCCGCCCAAGGCCTGGTGATTGTATTGTATTGTATTTACGATCATGGGCGATCCACACATGGCGTGGCGATTACTGCCCAGAGTCTGAGTCGGGTATAAGCATGCAGGAACAGAGACCAGTCGAACAACACACACACACACACATACACGCACACACAGGAAGACTCTATATGCTACGATTTCTAACATACCGTGTAGGTACTTATATACATACAAGACGAGTGCCTAATTCAGGCCATCACGAAGGTCTATCGTTTTTCCACAGAGACTTGACAGCGCGTGCGAATTTAGAGGGTGGCAGCTGTGAGAGGTCGGGAGGTAGGTCGTTTAGGAGCTCGGCGGCACGGTAACTGAAACGCCGCTTACCGGTTTCTAGTCTGGGACGCTGGAGCTGGAGAACAATGCGAAAGGTTTGTTTAAGCCTTTTTCCCAGTCTCTTTATCATTGCCCTGCGGCTAGCTCATAAGACTTCAAGTCAAACAACGACGTCGAATGGATTGGGTGTGCCCTCCCTGTGGACTTGCTGTTGTTATTGCGGCTCTTATGTACGGGTTTCCAATGTCTAATGAACTCCTATTGGAGGGAGAACGGAAGCCATTCGCTGTAGATTCATAGAGGTACCGGCCTGCTCGGATGAAATGAATTCCACGCATGTAAGGTTCGGTCATTCTAGCGGGAAATTAGGAGGTGTTTGACGAGTGAATGACGAGTGATTAGTACAGTTTGTCTGGCCATACTGTGTAAGCTATGACACTATGGCTATAAGAGCCTGCTTCAGGTACTGCTGGTTGCAAGATTTTGCATTATCCTTGTTTTAGGAGATGTCATGCGAGGCAGCTTTTATTTGGCGCAGTGGAATGAATTGGCCGTGCGGGCCGCCACTTGGTACCCCCCCCCCCCGCCCCCGGAGGTTGATTGGCGGTAATTTGCCGCTGGCCAGCCTCCATCGCTCATCCGGTATGTAATATCGCTCAGCATATCGTCCGCTAATGCATACTGAGCGCGCCGGCCGGTACCGGCCACCTGGCCCCTGGCCGCCCACACCCCCGACACTCCGTCAGACGGCCAGACTGTGACGGCACATACATCCGACACTCCGTCAGGCCGACAGACCAGACACTCCGTCAGACTGCCTGCCCGCCCGACACTCAGTCAGACTCGACACTCCGTCACACTGCCAGAGATGGTACAGACTGCCCACCCAACCGACACTCCGTCAGACCAAACTCTCCGTCAGACTGTCAGTGTCAGACCGTTAGACTGTCACGGAACTCCATCCGACACTCCGTCAGGCTGCCTGATCGCCCATCTACCCGGCTTCCCGTCAGACCTTCAAACTGTGACGTCATATAGTCAGACTGTGATACCTTGACGTTCTTCAGTCACATTGTGATGTCATTCATTCTTGCATGAATCGTAGCATCATTCCCTTACACTGTAACGTTTCACAGTCAGATAGAAACGTCATTCAGACTGTGACGTCATTCAGTCAAGTCATCACGTCATCCCGACAAAACCGTGACTTCGTGACCGGGCTGGGTCAAGCCTTGACCGTCCCGTTTCGTCCGTCCTTGGTTACACGAGGGTATTGTATCCATGGGTATCGCACAGCGCTCAGCTGTTTTCTAACGCTCGCATCCCGTCCTCTGACTCCTATGTTTCGTGATGGAACACCAGGCTTTGGTGCGTGCCGTTCGTTAGCTCGTCTCGTTTTTAGGTGCGCCGTTTTTACGTCAGCGTCAATGGACTGATTGGCGTCAGAGTCTGGACGCTGTGTGGTCGATAGGCCGGGGAGGCCCCGGACGGCGGTTTTGCGGCCCGTCCCGTCTGCGACTTCGGACGCGGCGGGCTGACCCAAGCTCAGACGATGTTGGCCGTCACGATGTCACTGGAAGACTATGGATACGGCTGGTGACATTGGCCTGTCCGCTGTGTCTGTCGTGAACCTTGCACCTTGAGTTATCACCATTATCCCCTCCCTAAAAGTTAAGCTGCTCCCTCTTCCCCAGTCACCGTCAGGAGCAGGTTACTAGTTCTTCTCCCAGCAGTCCCCACCGCCAGCCACCGACAGTCGGTGCTGCTCCGCTCCGTAAGGTGCCCGTTCTCGGTACTCGAAACCATGTGACACTAACGCAGGCTGCATTGGCCACGTCACATTCATAATGCATGTGGCCGCGTGCGAAACGGGCGACCGTTGAGCGTCCGTTCTAACCTATGGATGGAGCGGGTGAGTGTTACCGGGGAGTCTCCGTCACAACCTTTGGGTGGAGCTGTTGTGCGTTACCGGGTAGTCGCAGCCCGACCCTGAGGGTGACTAAAATGCCTGACAAATCAGAATCAACGAAAGCGTTGGGAGAGATGATGAGAGAGTATGACCAGTGATTCACTAAACAGCGCTCAGGAGGTGGGTATTTGTAGCCCGTAGAAATGCCGACGGTACGGACTCACGACATTGAAGCTTGATTTCGGCAACAGTGAGCAGAATGAGAATGGGGTCGCACTGAACGAACGACACTCGGGGAGCATCCGTACTGCCAATGACGGGGGCCGGCTTTGTTACTGTCTGTAGAGTCTGTGCCTCCACACCTAGGAATGGATGAGGAAGTTAGGCGTAACGGAGTGGGCGTCTCAACGGTCATTATGTATTGGGCATCTTCCCAACGTTCGGGGTATGTCAATTAATTCAATAAAAACAAACATTGCACACGTGAGCGTGACCGATTTCAATCTGCCGATGCAATCACTGGTTTCCCAAGCCATTGAGCGTTTCATACCGGGCGTTCAATAACTGATGAATCGCTTATCTCGACCGGTATTTCGCTGGCCTTTGTCAGTTCTTCAGGCCCATTATGATCATGGTTGGGTTCAGTTTGAGGGCATATTCTTTGGTCAGGGAACATTTGTAGCTGTTGGACCGTCTCGGTCGCCGTGCTGCGGAGAGGCTGGCTGCCTGTCTCGCGAGGGCCCCAGTTACAGCCGTTCCACCCGGCCTCCTTCCAACTCATCTGGTGGGTCTTCGAGCGGAATAAATCGACACGGAGAGGTCGGCAATGGCGGCTCGGCTGTGAAACTTTATGGCTGGACCCTTGCTTCACCGCTGGTTGATACTCTTTTTTGGGTGTGTGTGGGGGGGGGAGGGGGTTGCTGCTGACCTGTATTTGAGTATGACTTCCGAACATATCTGTCTCTGCCGGTGTGTTTTTTCGTTAGTCAATGTCTCGGGTTGACTTGTTCGCCGTTTCGGTGTCGTTCTGTGCCGCGCTGGTGGGTTTGAACGCCCGGCAATCTCACGCGTGAACTGCCTGGGGCTGTTACACGCTGATGGTATGGCCGGGGGCGCGGTGACATGATCGTTCAGCGTCGTGCCCGCGCTTATAACCTTGACCTTTGCAGAATATCAGTCGTGCTACCTCTGTCGGGCTCCGTGCTTCATATCGTCAACTTGACAAACACGGATTTAAAACTTAGACGCAGAGAACGCTTGCAACGACCGATAAAGCAGTAGAGCGGTTGCTGTGCCCGTTTCGTTGGCCCTGTATAAATCTGTCCCCAGAATAGGCTCGACTCTCTCCAACTAACTCCGCCTCCAGAATAGGTAGGGCTCTGGCCTGTGTCGCTGACAGATTGATTGTGGGCTGTGGCTAAGTTTGGTCGTCTCCCTGCCGTCAGAGTGGTCCATATCGGGCGCGATCGATTGGTGACGGCGGTGACGGCTGGCGTCACGGACGTTCGCTGGGTGAACGCTCTGTTGGGTACCCCATATCTCTGCCGTTCACCGTGTGGGGAGGACACTACACGAGACTCGGCTCGCGGCAACATCTGACTGTCTCCGGGGCTTTCAGTCGGAATGCAGTCGTCCGCGCGACGCGTCGCAGCCACTCGTGTCCGACGAAAAGCTTTTAGGCCGCCTCTTCGGTCTGCTCCCTGACTTTTTCGTAACAAGGCCCTGTGACTGCGCGC